CTTTGAAAATATGGCTCATACTTTATTCTTGACACCTTCATGAAATCATTACATTTGCTGAAGATGCCATTTTTCCCTTTAAACTGTGGGTTTTCTCCGGAAGTTTTTCCTTGTACGATGTGAGGGTCTAAGGACAGAGGGTGTCGTATTGTCATACTGATATTTTGTACAAACTGTAAATTCCACTGAGACAAATGTAACATTTGTGATATTGGGCTATATAAATAAACATTGATTGATTGATTGACTGAAGAGACCCGACAAGAACTTAATCATATTTTTCACGTTGACATGTAGTTTGGCTCACTTTGTAGACATTGCCAGTCTTTTAAATCAGATCAGCTCTCTACTTTAAATATAGTGTATAGTATTTGTCATATGTAAATATTGTTAGTTTGTCACAATAGTCTTAAAATAGTTTCCTTTAAATAGCTGACATAACAGTCCTAATTTCATTTTATTTAGTCTTGCTACTTGTTAATTGTGTGTCTTAGCATGCACCACATATACCAAAGCAAATTCCCCGTATGTGTGGTAATAAAACTGATTCTGATTCTAATTGGGGCATTCATCCCTCTTTTTTTGGGAGGGGGGTGCCCTATATTCAAAATATAGCATCGTCTTTGTTCTGCTAACAGTGACCAAATTCTCCCTTTTCCTTAAAAGCATTCCAGTTACTGCATGGGTGCATAGATCCACTGAGGTAACATCATGAGGTAAATCCTTTTTTTTCTGAGTTGCTGCTGGAAGTGCTGTTGTTTATTTAATACGGACAATGAAGTAACATTGATTAGATTAAAACCTACTGCAAAGTTTGCCACTTTTTTAGTTTTCATGTCCCCAGAGCAGCTTCAGATGGACTAATTGCCCCTTTTGCAGTAACTATTCAACTAATAACAACTAACCTAACTGTGACTTGCATGGGAAATTGTGACGATGATCACATTCAAAGCGAGGGGGACTTCCTCTTCTTTGGTGACGTGATTTCCGAAGAGATTGATTGACATATGAGAGCTCGGTAACTTTACTGAAATTGTCTACCTTATTTAGTTTCTTTGAACTTATTGCATGTTAGTTCCCCTCTACAGAAAAACGTATGACCCTAACATATGATATGATATGTACTTAGGGCTGTACCCGAATATTCGAGTATTCGTTCGTTGGCCAACTATTCGGGTTTCAATTTCATTATTCAGATATTCGTTTTTTTATTTTTTTTCAAAAAAATATTTTTTTCCCCTAAATATATGCTATCAATAAAGGCGAATTGCCATATTCTTATACTATATTTATACTTTTGAATTGCACTGTTAAAATGCGTAAATATATACAATCTCAGCCTGTGCTCCTGACATCGCGTTCACTCACAGTCACGAACGCAAACGGCACGCTTCACCTTGCTTCACCTCGTTTCACACACCTGAACACAAAATGCAGAAGACTTCAGCTGTGTGGGACCATTAAAAAAATTGGACGACGGTAAGAAGAAGGCAGTGTGCCAAATATGCGACAAGAAACTGGCCTACCACGGTGGCACAACAACTCTGAAAAGTCACCGGATGCTGTAAGTACTAGCCTAGCTTAGCTTAGCTGTTGTCAAGTTGCCATGATTGATTGATTGATTGATTGATTGATTGATTGATTGATTGATTGAAAAGTTTATTAACAGCTTGTATATTGGGTACAGTACAGTACAGCTCAAAACATACAATTGTTAAGGGGATGCAGACCAGAGAAAGACTTTCGTCTTGTTTACATCCGGGTCCCCCATTTCCAATTAATCATATATGATATATGATGAAGCTGCTTTATCCGCCGTTTAAACAGTAACGTTACACATGATAAAATCGTGCTCTTACTTTGCTTGGAAAATAGTTGCAAGCAAGCAACCGAATTGTTTTTTTATATTAGTTTTTCAATTTTATCCGAATAGTGAAAATAATAGGAGCAATGTGGGAACATCTGGGGCTAAGGCAATTATTGGCATACAGTTCGTTCATTTATTTTTCGTTCTTCATTTATTTAAATACTGTTTACTGTATCAGTAACAAGTATTACACAGTTAGGCCTACTGTTACGGCTATGTTATTAAAAGTATTGTTGTTATAACAGAAATATGTGTTTTGTATCTTCAGGTTGTAAAACGTTATAGACGGAATTTGGAACCAGATTTGGTCCCCGGGCGCTGCGCTGCGGCTGGGTTAAATGCAGAGGACACATTTAGTTTTAATGTATGCGAGACAATAAATAAATATAAATCGTAATAGTATGCTCTTTCTGCGCTTCTGCTTAACAGCGTGTTGTCAGGTGTCTCGGAGCGTATTATGAAAAAAAAGTGAAAAAAAACATTTTATTAAAAAGAAAAAAAAAATCTCTCCGCACCGAATATTCGAATATTCGCTGCTGATTACTACCGAATATCCGGAGCCCGAAAAATTGTATATATATATATATATGTTAATAGTTATGCATCCTGTAGATCAGGGGTCTGCAACCTTTTTGACCAAAAGAGCCATTTTGCTCCTTTTTCCAAAACATTTTTTGTCTGGAGCTGCAAAACATAGGCCTATTTCATAGTTTGTTATATCAGACAAAAACTACAGTTTTTTTGCATTTATTAGGCTATTTATTACATGATATAAAACTGTTAACATCTAATAAGAAACAAAGAACTCTTATAAGGAGAATTTTAAGTAATACACAGGCCTAATTTAAAATAAATTAAACACAGCACTTGGGGAGTCCTCTGCACATTTGAAGGAAAAAACATATTATTAAAATGGGCCCACTTTGAAATAAATAAAACATACAGCTGCACCCTAAAAAGAGTTAAAGGTAGGGGAGGTAAGAATGGAGAAACCAGCTCGAGTGCGCAAGAATTTGAAAGTACACAACCGGAAAAAATCTGCCCCTTCCTTCAGACTTTCTTACAGAGTCCCTCCTCCAACACACACGAACGCGCACATGACCAATGAGGGCACGAGATAAGTTTGTGCACAGATGGAAGGCTGACAGGCAGTTAGGCCATCCAGTTACTTTAGCCGGGCCGGCTAAAATGATTGGTCATGCTTTTTACAGTGCTACGGCTTCCAGAGATTAATTTTTGTATGTATTTATTGTCAAAGCATTTCATATATTCATTGCTATCGGGACGTTAAGAGCATTCCATGGAATATAACAAAAAGTGTTTTCTGAAATAAATGACATACCCCATTGAATTATGACTGAAGATCATCAGCTATCTTCCTCTCCCTTGTTGTTCCTCGATACGTAAAGGCTGCACCACCGTTGACAACTTCTCTCTACATATCAAACATACCGGTAAACCAGCATCGTTTGCTGTGAAAGCATATAACTCTGTCCACACAGAATTAAATCCTGTGTTCCTCCGGTACTTTTCTTTGATTTATCCATAGTTCGCTCATCGAGCCGGGGGTCAGGTTATTCGCCTCCAAGAAAAGGCTCTCACGCGGGACCGTAGCGGGATGTGACGCATATTTTAGTTGAGATAATTAAAACCGTTTTGTTTTTTATTTATGTGTCACAGTATCACCTCAAAATACAAGATACGAAACATTTTCAACCATGCAACAAAATATAAATAGTCCTAAAAATACTTTTATTTTATTTCCTTCTTATTTTTGTCTAAGCTCAAGGGAGCCAGAGCAGAGGGCTTAAAGGGCCGCGGGTTGCCGACCCCTGCTGTAGATAAAGGCTGACAGGACACACTGAACTTGTCATCAATGCAAATTCAGAAGGTTGTGTGAAAAGATAATACGGTTATTAAAAGAAAGTATGTAATATAACTAGAATAGACCTACTGTAATTCTCTTTTTTGTTTACTTCAGTCCCTCAGCCTGTTGCCTGAGGCTGGTGGAACGCACTTATTGTAAGTCGCTTTGGATAAAAGCGTCAGCTAAATGCAATGTAATGTAATGTAATGGTGGCACACATTGATTATATGACTGTAAAGAGAAAGTCATTTTTTTTAGGGAACAAACCTGAAGTTAAAGCCACCTTCTGAAGTGGATCGTTAATTCCTGTACACATAAAGCCCCCTTAAAGTTCAACTCTGTCAATCCTCAACAGTCTCTACACAACTGCAGTGAGGGCAGCACCTTATTGTTTTACTTATGTCTTAGTCAAGGGTCATGTTTTATATGTTTCAAGTTTCACATGATTTCGGCTTATATCACATTCTATTGGTACAAAGTTTTGTAAATTAAGTTATTAGATTTTGGGTTTTATTTGATTTATTTTCAGATACATTTTGAACACACACTGTAACTATAACAATTATTACATAGCATCAAACACAGGTTTAAAACTAACGTTTTTTTCTTAAGAAAAAAACCTATTGAGGACCCACTCAACATCTCTGGGAACGACTCAATGACAACCGGCTGGTGCAGAGGACTCACTCCATTTTCAAAAACGTATTAGCTTTACTGCCCTAGTCTTAAGACACTCATCACATAGAAAACATATATTTCTGTTAATGTGCTACACATAGAAACCATATATATGTATGATGGCTGATGGGAATAATGATTGGAGGAAAAGGGAGAAACTATATTCCCATTACATTATGGATATGTTCTTGAGCAACACTGACCCCCCCCACACACTGATCTGAGAATAACAATATTGTGCAACTACTCAAAAGAAACACACCTGTGTGAAACGAATCATACGTTTTATGATAAAATACAGATGTATTGAAATCCAAACTATTAAAATATAGTAAATGTGAGATATATTAGGAGGAACATTTAAGATATGATTGTAGTGATAAAGATAACTTATGGTTGGCCTGCTTCACACGCCTAAGAGAAAGACAGGCGTCCCCTCTAAACTACTTTCTTTCACTCTCTAAGTACTGAGTTGGGCCTTATACTCTGCACATGTTACATTATCTAAAGATTAACAGTTCTGTTAGACATATTGGGTTTTTCTGCACACATTTGTATATACAAACTGAACTTTCCTTTGTGAACAGCTCAGGACTTTAATCCAACAACTGATCCTCTACCACACAGAGCACTTTTAATTATTTGTCTTATTTGTGTCAATTTGAAACCATACATCAGAGGATTGATAACTGGAGGAACAATGATAAACTGCATTGCCATAAAATTCTGGGCACTTTGCGGCAGTCCTTTTGAGCCAAATCGCATGTACAACAAATCAAAAAGCAAAGAAACAACACCCACTGCTAAACAGAATAAATGTGGTACACATGTCTGCATAAATGTACTCCAGTTCTCTTTGGAGGCTTTGCATGTTCTGATCAGATGTATATAAGACCAACCAACAAATATAAAATGACCGAAATAAAATGTATAATTAAAAGCTGGAATAACAACGTTTGCAATGGAGGCAGAGCAAGCTAGTTTACCTATCAACCAGTTAACACAGTAGATTCTCGGTATTTGTGAGCCACATAAACTTGTTCTTGATGTTGTTATTGTGCTCATGAACACCAAACAAATGGGTATTAACCAAGCAAAAAACACAAACACACCAACTTTCTCTTTAGTCATGAAAGAGTGGTACACCAGAGGTCGACATATAGCCACATACCTGTCGTAGGCCATCAGCACGAGAAAAGAGAAATCTGCAGCAACTGAAGAGTGCAACACAAAACCCTGCAGAAGACATCCAGCATATGAAATAACATGAGTGGTAGACAGAAGATCAATCAGGAACTTTGGGTAAAAGCCTGCTGTCCCATAAAGTCCATTTATACACAGATTACACAGGAAGATATACATGGGCTCGTGAAGCTTTTTGTGCAAAATGATGGTCACAATAATGGTCAAATTTACCAGCCAAATCACAAAGTAACACAGCAAAGTGAGAGTAAAAAGAACAACTCTGTAGTTTGTAGTCCCACTTAGCCCTGACAGAGTAAACATAGTAACTACTGAAACATTATTCATCATCAAATCTTAATTTCTATTGTTATTGTAGATTACATTTTAACAATACATAACATTTCAGTAAACTAACGCTTTTATCCAAAGTGACTTATAATAAGTGCAATAAACCATAAAGATTAAGAAGAAAAGTGCAGATATATTTGCTTCAAACAAGCCAGACCATTGAAGTGCTGATGCATTAGTTACACTCTTTAGTGCCCCTTTTGTTCCACACTACAAACATCAGAAATTGCATTTACACGACCTTAATGATGGGAGATGCCATCATCAAAGGTGCTTTCTGTTCTGTGTCCAATCATTGCCTTACAAACCGTGTTGGCAGTTGTTCATTTTCTCCCATGGCATTAGCCTGTAATGATATTGGTACCATGTGACTTCAAACTGAGATGTGTCGGTGTAGTCCTTGTATCAAAACAAAAAAACAAGTCTCCATTGCACTTTTTTAATAGCCAACCAAAAAGTTGGATTGAATTAAATAATTTCAAGGTTAATATTATACATTGTGATACACATTATTTATTTGAAAAAATAGTTTGCAGAAATAAAATAAAATGATATTAATAACCGAATGTTATGACTTTCAGAGAGTTTCAAAATTAGAAAACACCCTATTTCTAGTAACAGGCCACACATGGTTCAGAAGTTAAGAGTGCCATTACAAACTCCAATGATATTACAGGAAGGACATTGATCTAATAATGTACGTAAACAACAAACATGACTATTGTTGGTGTGTTAAATCTACATGGGAGGTACATTAATAATATACTTTAGCAGTAAGTAGCCTTATTGTGCAGGCCGGGGTTTCATCTGAAAAGCTGATGGCAGTAGTGAGGTCACAGGCCGGGACAAACAGACAATGTCATTTAGACAAAGAATAAATCATATAATTTCTCCCACCTTTGCCGAATTTACAAAGAGGTGGTATTTATCTCTGATAACTGTAGCACATTATTTGTTAAACCGCTGTCAAGGGTGAAGAATATGATGCACTAAATAAGACACCTCTTGGTCGGATCTAGATCACACTACACCTGTAGTAGGCCCCTTCTGATCCACACCTAAGGAGTGATAACCACTGATAATTCCTATTTAATAGGCTAAAAATAATTTTAAAATTGCTGAGAAATCTTTTTCAAAATATGGGCTCATCTTTTCTTCCTGCCACCTTCATGAAATCATTAAAGTTTCTGCATAGACCCTGACAAGGACTTTATTGGAAGGGTTTTTTGTCATAACAGTGCTATATCTTTTTATTTAGTTTTGTTACATATTATTCTTTCTGTGTCTTTGCATGCACCACATTTTTACAATGACATTTAGAGACTGGCTGAAATCATTGCCATTGGGACATTCTCTCTCTTTTTATATCAGTGTCACAATCATTTCATGAGAAGAGGTAAATCCTCTTATAATTTATTCCAACTTTGTGGGCAACAGTGTAATGAGGTAAATAATTGTGTTCTAAGTTGCTGCTTGAGATGTTATTGTTTATTTAAGCTACAGTAACATTATCCATATTAACTTTAGCTTTTCTAAAGATGAATACCTACTGCAAATGGTGTAATGCAAATTCTGCCACTATTTATTTTTCAAGTCCCCACAGCAGCTTCAGATGGACTTATTGCCCCTTTTGCAGTAACATGAGTTAATCTTTCAGTGACAGTGTTAAGGATGCCTATTTTTCCCATATTGCATGTTAAAACGTTCTGGTAGAGCATAAGTCTTTGGATATTGTGGCAAGGCTCTTGAGATGTCACCTCACCTTCCTTAGAGCTGGAAGCTTGGCCAGTAATGATGTTTATACATAAAGCCAAGGCCTCATTTGTGCACAGTGGCATGTGGATGACATTCATTGTAAATACAGCCTCTTCCTTAAATATGCCGATTGAATTTTCTTGTAAACAAAGCCATATTCATGTTTACATTCAGTGTTTCTCACTGAAACTCATTGTGTGTCCTTAAGGTCTAACAAATGTGTTGAGTGCATTTCTTTCTTCCTAACATATATATATATATATATGTTTACTTGCTAGCAGAAAAGGCAGCTCCTTTTCTGCCTTGTATGGCACATTGCTGCAGATCTTGGTGTCACAGCCAGGTTTTTGTTAGCGAGATGGTGTGACATAATGAACTGTGAGGTATTTTGCTTCACCTGTGTTGCATCCTTATACTGTAGGTGAAACAAAACAGGGAACCACTCATAACAGAGCAACTCCATATCATCTAACTTAACCAGTGTGCCTCTATTTCACTAGATTCAGATGTCGACAGAAGTTGTGTAGTTGCTTGTGTTTTAAGTGTGTAACTACAGTGATTGTGTTATTGTGCCTGCTAGGTCCATTAAGATGCAGCCACTTTTGCTTCAGTCTTTCATGTATGATAAATAAAGTGTCAGAACACCACACAATTGCTGACAAAAGTAATTTGGGTAAATATTTGTTGATGGTTTTACATAGTTTTGCATTTAGTGATAAGGGAGGTGCCTGAAACCCAATCATGGTATGCATGTCAACAGCAATTTATCTATGGCTCATTGGAAAACACTATCTTATTCAGAGAACACACGAATAGTAATATAATACATAATGCTAACAAATAAATCTGACATATAGAAGTTTCTGGTGTCAACTTACATTCTGTTTAAGAGTAGTTGAATCAACTCTATTGATGTTTTAAGGCTGTAGTTTATTATTATTTCAGTTTCCTGATTTCATTATGTTGACGCCTTAATTACATTACATTACATTACATTGCATTTAGCTGACGCTTTTGTCCAAAGCGACTTACAATAAGTACATTCGACCAGGAAGACACAACCTTGAAGAAAACAGAATCATATAAGTATATCAGGTTTCATAGAGCCAAACATTTCAAGTGCTACTCAACTGGCTTTAGGTAATCCAGTCCTTTATTAGTATAAAAGTGCTTCGTTAATCGTTCTAACGCTCGAAGTGGAGTCGAAAGAGATGAGTTTTCAGTTTGCGCCGGAAGATGTGCAAGCTATCTGCCGTCCTGATGTCAATGGGGAGCTCATTCCACCATCTTGGAGCCAGGATAGCAAACCCACGTGTTTTCGCCGATGGGAACTTGGGTCCCCCTCGCAGCGAGGGCGCAACGAGTCGTTTGGCTGATGCAGAGCGTAGTGCATGCGCTGGGGTGTACGGTTTAACCATGTCCTGGATGTAGGAAGGGCCAGATCCATTCGCAGCATGGTAAGCAAGTACCAGTGTCTTGAAGTGGATTCTAGCAGTTACCGGAAGCCAGTGAAGGGAGCGGAGGAGCGGAGTGGTGTGGGAGAATTTAGGAAGGTTGAAAACCAGACGAGCCGCTGCATTCTGGATGAGCTGCAGAGGTCGGATGGCACATGCAGGTAGACCAGCCAGGAGGGAGTTGCAGTAGTCTAGGCGTGAGATGACGAGAGCCTGGACCAGAACCTGAGTCGCTTTCTGAGTCAGCTGGGGACGTATCTTCCTGATATTGTAAAGCGTGTATCTGCAGCAGCGGGTTGTAGCAGCGATGTTTGCAGTGAAGGACAGGTTGTTATCTAGGGTCACACCCAGATTCCTTGCAGTCTGAGTCGGGGAAACAACTGAGGTGCCGATGTTGATTGTCAGGTCAAGAGTTGGACAATCTTTTCCCGGGAGGAAGAGCAGCTCAGTCTTGTCAAGGTTGAGCTTGAGGTGGTGAGCAGACATCCACTGAGAGATGTCAGCTAGACAAGCAGAGATGCGTGCGACGACCTGGGTCTCTGAGCGGGGAAAGGACAGAATTAATTGGGTGTCGTCAGCGTAGCAGTGGTAAGAAAAACCATGCGGGCTAATGACTGATCCGAGCGAGTTTGTGTACAAGGAGAAGAGGAGGGGACCAAGAACAGAGCCCTGAGGGACCCCTGTAGTTAATTGACAAGGGTCGGACTCAGACCCTCTCCAAGTCACCCTGTAGGTACGGTCTTTCAGGTATGAGGTGAGGAGGGAAAGTGCAGAGCCTGAAACTCCAAGTTTTTGGAGAGTGCGAAGGAGGATCTGATGATTCACCGTGTCGAATGCAGCAGACAGGTCCAACAGGATGATGACAGAGGAGAGGGATGCAGTTTTGGCAGTGTGCAGTTCCTCCGTGACAGCAATGAGAGCAGTTTCTGTGGAGTGACCTGCCTTGAAACCAGACTGGTGCGGATCCAGAAGGTTGTTCTGATTGAGATAACAGGAGAGTTGTTTAAAGACAGCGCGTTCAAGTGATTTAGACAGGAACGGGAGGAGAGAGACAGGCCTGTAGTTTATAACATCAGACGGGTTGAGAGTGGGTTTCTTTAGGAGAGGGTTTACTCTTGCCTCCTTGAGACTGTTTGGAAAGTGACCAGAAGTTAGAGAAGTGTTGATGAAATGGGTGAGAAACGGTAGAATATCAGGAGCGATAGTCTGAAGGAGGTTTGAAGGGATAGGGTCCAGAGGACAGGTGGTAGGGCGGGCAGAGGTAATGAGGGTAAGAACCTCACTTGGAGAGAGAGGGGAAAAGGAGGTTAGTGTGTTGGTGGAAGGAAGGTCTGGTGACCCAGCGGTGAGTAAAGGTGAGTCAGAAAAAGAAGAGCGAATATCATTAACCTTTTTTTCAAAGTGGGTAACAAAGTCGCTTGACAGAAGTGAGGAGGGGGGAGGAGCTTTTGGAGGGTCCAAGAGGGTGGAGAAGATGGAAAATACTTTTTTAGGATTGGAATAGGAAGATTGGATCTTATCTTGAAAGAAAGTGCTTTTTGCCTGAGAGATCGAAGCAGAGAAAGAGGAGAGGAGAGCTTGATAGGTTAGGAGGTCGTCACGGTGTTTGGATTTCCACCATTTCCGCTCTGCTGCCCTAAGGACGGTTCTATTAGCATGCAGTGCATCATTTAGCCAGGGAGCCGGAGGGGACTGACGAGCCTGCCGAGATGTCAGAGGACAGAGCGAGTCCAGAGTGGATGAGAGAGTAGAGAGGAGAGATTCTGCAGCAGAGTTTGGAGGCAGTAGTTG